ATTGGAGAATGCTATTTTCATGGGGAGGAGGGCAATGATAACTCAGACCCCAGAAACTGTAAGGGAAAATCAATAGAATCAGTTGTTGAACATTTGAACATGATTTTCAATGACTCCATTATATTTCATTAAATTGATGGGCCATAATTTACTATCATTCACATGTTGCTGAATATCTGTGTAGTTTCCAATATATTCTTATTTTGAATACTACTTTAATGAACATGTGTGTGTTGAGCGAAGATTTTCTTTGAAAGATCATTATGTACTGAAATCTGTGCTGTCACATTTTTGTTTGACATAAGTGGGTCATTGGCTTAGGTCTGGAAAACTTATTGTTACAAATGCCCTTTTAAAAATAAACTGTCATAAAGAACTAGAGATTTAGAGATTTGTATGGTTTCTTTTACCACTTGGTGCTCTCTTTGTCCTTCATAGTGTGAAGGTTGCAAAGGTTTTGTGGGCAATGTCTACAATTTTCTGAGTTACTGAAGTTAAAATAAGAATTACCTCCCCGGATCAAAATTTAGCCCAGTAGTCTCTAACAGGCATGAGGAATCAACTAGTCCCCTACACATTTACCCTGACATGATTAGGAATTTGCCCCTCTCCTTAAATTTCTGGGTTTTCTTGATTGTGATAATTCTATTACATGAATTTTGTTAACCATTTTCTAGATCTGTTTTTTCATTTTGTATTTGCATTTAAAAATTATTTTTTAAAATGTCAATAGTTTTTTGGGTACAGATGGATTTGGTTCCATGGATGAATTCTTTGGTGGTGAATTCTGAGATTTTAGTGCACCCATCACTTGAGTAGTATACACTGTACTCAATATGTTTTCTTTTATCTCTCACCTCCTCATAGTCTCCCCACCCTTGAGTCCCCTAAGTCCATTATATCACTCTGCATGTTTTTGTGTGTGTGTGTGTGTCCTTATAGCTTAACTCTCAGTTATAAGTAAGAACATACAGTATTTGGCTTTCTACTCCTGAGTTACTCCACTTAGTAAAATGGCTTCCAGCTCCATTCAAGTTGCTGCAAAAGGCATTATTTTATTCCTTTTTATGGCTGAGTAGTATTCCATGGTGTATATATACAAGATTTTCTTTATCCACTTGTTGGTTTATGGGCACTTATTTTGGTTCCATATCCTTGCAACTGTGAACTGTGCTGCTGTAAACATGTGTGTGCATGTGTCTTTTTTACATAATGACTTCTTTTCCTGTGGGTAGATATCCAGTAATGGGATTGCTGAATCAAATGGTAAATCTACCTTTAGTTCTTTAAGGAAATTCCATACTGTTTTCCATACTGGTTTTACTAATTTACATTCCCACCAACTATGTAAAAATGTTTCCTTTTCACCACATCCATGCCAACATCTATTGTTTTTTGGCGTTTTAATTATGGCCATTCTTGTAGTAGTAAGGTGGTATCTCATGGTTTTAATTTGCATTTCTCTGATGATTAGTGCGTTGAGCATTTTTTCATATGTTTGTTGGCTATTTGTATATTTTCTGTTGAGAAATGTCTGTGCATGTCCTTAGCCCACTTCTGATGGGATTGTTTGTATTTTTCTTCCTGATTTGTTTGAGTTCCTTGTAAATTATGGACACTTGTCCTTTGTCAGATGCATAGTTTGCAAATACTTTCTCCTGTTCTTTGGGTTGTCTATTTACTCTGCTTATTTATTTTGCTAAGCAGAAGTTTTTTTAGGTCCCATTTCTTTATTTTTGTTTTTGTTGCTTTGTTTTTGGGTCTTAGTCATGAATTCTTTGCCTAAATCAATGTCCAGAAGAGTTTTTCCAATATTTTCTTCTAGAAGTTTTAGGGTTTCAGGTCTTAGATTTAAGTTTTTGCTCCATCTTGAGTTGATTTTTGTATTAAGTGAGAGATGAGGATCCAGTTTCATTCTTCTGCATGTGGCTTGCCAGTTTTCCCAGAACCATTTATTGAACAGGATGTCCTTTCCCCAATTTATGTTTTTGTATGCTTTGTCAAAGATCAGTTGGGTGTGAAGTATTTGGCTTTATTTCTGGGTTCTCTATTCTGTTCCATTGGTCTATGTGCCTATTTTTATGCCAGTACCATGCTGTTTTGGTGTCTATGACCTTAAAGGATAGTTTGAAGTCAGGTAATGAGATGTCTCCAGATTTGTTCTTGCATAGTCTTGCTTTGGCTATGTGAGTTCTTTTTTATTCCACATGAATTTTAGGATTGTTTTTTCTAGTTCTGTGAGGAATCATGAATTGCATTGAATTTGTAGATTGCTTTTGGCAGTATGGTCATTTTCACAATATTAATTCTACCCATCCATGAGCATAGGATGTGTTTCCATTTGTTTGTGTCATCTATGATTTCTTTCAGCAGTGTTTTGTAGTTTTCCTTGTAGAGATCTTTCACATCCTTGGTTAAGTGTGTTCCTAGGAATTTTATTTTATTTTATTTTTTGCAGATGTTGTAAAAGGGATTCAGTTCTTGATTGGATTCTCAGCTTGGTCACTGTTGATTGATAGCAATGCTACTAATTTGTGTACATTGATTTTGTAACCCAAGACTTTAGTGAATTCATTTATCAGGTCTAGGAGCCTTTTGGATTAGTCTTTAGAGTATTCTAGCTACACGATCGTATCATCAGCAAACAGTGACAGTTTGACTTCGTCTTTTCCAACTTGCCCTTTATTTCTTTTATTGTCAGATTGCTCTGACTAGGACTTCCAGGGCTATGTTGAATAGAAGGGTTGCATGTGGACATCCTTGTCTTTTTCCAGTTCTCAGGGGGGAATGCTTTCCACTTTTCCCTATTTAGTATGATGTTGGCTGTGGGTTTGTCACAGATGCCTTTTATTACTTCGACCTAAGTCCCTTCTATTCCCTTTTGTTGAGGGCTTTCATCAGAAAGCAATGCTAGATTTTATCAAATACTTTTTCTGCATCTATTGAGATGATAATATGATTTTTGTTTTTAATTCTGTTTATGTGATGTATCACATTTATTTACTTGCATATGTTAAACCATCCCTACATCCCTGGTATGAAATTCACTTGATCATGATGTATTATCTTATTGATGTCTTGTTGGATTCAGTTACCTAGTATTTTGTTAAGAATGTTTGCATCTATGTTCATTAAGGATATTGGTGTATAGCTTTCATTTTTGTTATGTTCTTTCCTGGTTTTCATATTAGGATGATACTGCCTTCATAGAATGATTTAGGAGTAGCCCCTCTTTTTCTATCTTTTGGAATAGTTTTAGTAGGATCGGTACCAATTCTTTGAATATCTGGTAAAACTCAGGTGTGAATTCATCTGATTTTAGACTTTTTTTGTTGTCAATTAAAAAAATTACTGAGCATCTATTTTTAAAATCTGTATATCTCTTGGAATAATATGCTCCATAGTTACAAGTGGGCAGTATAGACAACATAACTGAAGTGTCCTTAGCTATTTTTTTTGTTGTTGTTGTTGGAAGTGAGGGTGTGGCTACTTTGGGTTTTTTTTTTTTTTAACCATCTAAAGCCAGATTTTATAGAAACTGAATTGGTTTTGAAGAACCAGAAGACCCAGCAACTACTCCAGGTTTCCACAGAGAACCAGTGAGAGAAGAGGGAAGCTTTTCTAAAAATGTGAGATTTATGGAGGGTTGCTTGTGTATGTGGTTTATTTTCTTAAGTTAGAAAAATAGACAACGTGCTTTCAGAAATGAAAACTTCTGTTATGGTTACTATTAGAAAGAAATTTGATGGAACATTCTTCCTTGTTTGTTTCAGCTACCCAGGGACATTACCCGCAGCAGCCAAGTTGCCTGGAAAAGGATGCCAAGCATTGAAGACTTTCTGGGTGTGCTCCTCACTTCGAAAGGTGGAATGATTTATCAGTAGACACTGTGACAAAAATAATCCTAACAACTGGACTGTCAAGATTTGTAGCAGCTACTCACACCTCAATCCTCTTCTTTATCTTTTTTAATTTCATAGATTTTATTATACTTTAAGTTCTAGGGTACATGTGCACAATGTGCAAGTTTGTTACATATGTATACATGTGCATGTTGGTGTGCTGCACCCATTAACTCATCATTTACATTAGGTATATCTCCTAATGCTATCCCTCCCCTCTCCCCCCACCCCATGATAGGCCCCAGTATGCGATGTTCCCCTTCCTGTGTTGAAGTGTTCTTATTGTTCAATTCCCACCTATGAGTGAGAATATGCGGTGTTTGGTTTTCTATCCTTGTGATAGTTTGCTCAGAATGATGGTTTCCAGCTGCATCCATGTCGCTACAAGGGACATGAACTCATCCTTTTTTATGGCTGTATACTATTCCACGGTGTATATGTGCCACGTTTTCTTAATCCAGTCTATCATTGATGGACATTTGGGTTGGTTTCAAGTCTTTGCTATTGTAAATAGTGCCACAATAAACATAGGTGGGCATGTGTCTTTATAGCAGCATGATTTATAATCCTTTGGATATATACTTAGTAATGGGATGGCTGGGTCAAATGGTATTTCTAGTTCTAGATCTTGAGGAATCGCCACACTGTCTTCCACAATGATTAAACTAGTTTACAGTCCCATCAACCATGTAAAAGTGTTCCTATTTCTCCACATCCTCTCCAGCACCTATTGTTTCCTTTTTAATAATTGCTGTTCTAACTGGTCATACCTCAATCTTCTAATAGCCCATTTATAAGGCATTTTAAAATATAGCTTCTGATAAAATCATTAGTCCAATCTATTCATCATAACTATATTTTTATAAGTAGAGTCTTCATGCATTCTAATAATATGCTGCATAACACTGACATCTTGTCTTAAGTCATATAAAATAAAACTTCCCAACTCCTTATTGCTATCTGTTAGACAAAGGGGAGGGAAGGCCTCCTTTATGAATTTAAATCTTCTTAAGAAGTCTAGTAGAATTACTGTAAAAGTGATATCTAGGTTCCAGTTTAGACAGTAAAATCACACAAAGCAAAGGTGGCCATACTCACTCATTGGGGGTGCCCTTCTGGCCACAAAAGTGGCCCTGGCTGTCTGTAGGATAGGCTGCTCTTCTGGGGTCCCCATGTACCCAGGCTGCAGGAACAAGAAAGGACAAAAATGCTATCAGCAAAAGCTGGCTAAAGGCAGTTTGCTTTGAGATATTAGAATGCACCACTGCAACACACTAACCTCTCCCCTCAGTCACAGATTATTGATTTTCTTCAAAGAATAATTTCTTAATGAAAAGTAAAATAAAATATGGATGAATCAGTCAGAAAGCACATTGCTCTTATTCTCTCAGGATTCAGCTGGGTTGTAGCCAAAACATGAGGTAATGCACTTAGAAAATGACATTTATTAAAATGTGAATTAGAGGGCACATTATAAAAGCTCACTTGGCTAGAAGTCACTTTTTCTAGGGTTCAAAACTAAATGACTTCATAGCAGACCTAATACATTTACAGTAAATAATATGATGTAATACTTTTGAGTTATGCATAAGTGAAAACCATTAAAAAATTCAAAGGAATGAAACTATAATGCCCAATTCAAATTTCCTAGTTCTTTATGATTTTATGTGACATTATAAAGGCAAACAATAGCAACTGCGGAGGCAATATGTAATAAAGACTTACCCTAAGTTTTGTCTGACAATCTCAGAGCTTAATAGAAGTATCAAGTGATCTCAAACTTCATGAAAACAAAGGACTTGATTTTCTATGAAGACGATGGCCTCAAACACATCACCCTTATTTTTTAAGAATTATAAAATTAATTTGACAGACCATAGGACCACAGAGAGTAACATACATCGGTCAATTAGGAAATGCTTTCTAATTTTAGTCGAATATTTCTAACTTCTCCAGTTTGACTGATAACAGTTCCTAAAAATCCGGAAAATGTGCTCAGGTCATCTAATGCTTGCCTCTGAATATGGAAACATACCTCTTTGTCCTTTGTTTCCTTTAACATTTGCCCGGCTATCTCCTTCCCCACATTTATTGGATTTGACATTTCACGTTATAATTCAATCACTCTTATGTATATGGCCTGTGTGACTTGGGAAGATTTTAAAAAATCAATTCTGAATGAGAATTTTAATATGGAAGAAAAATTTTTCTCAATAATTTTTCTCATTAATCTAAGACTTTCTTTTTAGTATCTAAGCACTCACAAAAGTCCCCTTTGTCTAATTCTTTCTCCAATGTCATAGAGGCCAAATTGGTTTCATCTTCCAATACTGTCTTATTAAATCTGACTCATTCGGGTAGCTCTCAGCTGCCATATCTTCCCGTCTCTATTTCCCAGAATAAAGAAAGTGGACTACAAATAAGGCATTTAAATAACGAACTGTTCAATGTATGATGCCTCCAGACCATATATTATTACATTCTGCTTCTATACCTTAGTTTGTCATGTTTTGGCTAAATCTAAGAAAGATATTTATTTTACCTATTTTTTCAGTAATATGTTTTTAAAGCTTTATTCTAAAATGTCTTTTTCTTTTTTTCTATACAATTATTAATTCAGAAATGAGCACCCAAAGCATTTGGATTGCTAGATTTTCCCTGAGTGAGTCACTTAATTATTTTGAGTTTTGACTTTCTAATTTGTTACTACAGAATGAGTATAATAATACCCAATCCCACAAGAATGTTGACAATATAAAAGAAGATAATGAAAGCAGAGTGACTAACATGGTGCTTGGCATAAAATATGGACTCAGTAATATTAGTTCTTGTCTTATTTGGGTTTCCCCAAAAGTGAAATCCAAGACAAGAACTTTGATGCAGGTGGTTTATCTAGGAGGTGATTCCAGGAAGCTTAAGTGGGTATGAGGGAGATGAGACGGAAGGGAGCAAAGCCAATCAAGTGCCTGTTAATGAGTGGAATACTGTTGTGGGCAGCTGGGGCTCCATCCCACTGGGAAGCTTCTGCAGAGCAGTGTGAAAGATGTCTGTCAGTAGAAATTGTAAAACTGCCCACCACAGCTGCAAAAAACTCAGTTGGGTCAAGGGGAAGCAGGGTCAGGTATCCCCAGCATCTGCTACTGTTTTCTTTCCCTTTTTCATCATCAATTAATTAACTAAAGGATTTGCTAAATGATCACTATGTGTCCCACACTAGAAGTCATACCAATGTGAATTTATGGCAGAGTTCTCAAGAAATACACGAAAAGGGGAGAATAAAGTTTGCAGAAGGTTTAGAGAAGAGGTGAGACTTGAGAAAGACTTTAAAAAATGATTAGGATTTGGACATGTGGCTGGAAGTAGGGAAGGATTTATAGATTGAGGAAATAGTATAGTAATAAGAGCTTTCATTTATTAATTGCTCACAATGTGACAGATGCTGTGCTAACTTGATTAGACCCATTGTCTCAGCCGAGTCTCACAGCAAGCCTAAAAGGTAGGTGTTACTTTCACCTGAATGGTATAGATAGCTGCAGCTCAGAGTTTAATTTACTACTCAAAATCACACAACTTTAAGTGAGATAAACAAGGTATGAACTCAGGTGTGTTGCTTGCTTTCTATAGCCTGTGGTTTTCACCACCAAACTAGAAAGGAATAATGCTTTCTGCAAAAGGATAGAGCAGGAATGAGCTTGTTAACAGGGGGAAAACAAGGACATCAGCTAAATAAGGATCAGCAAAATGCTCATATAGGAAAAGAGATGACAGGCAATTTTGGAGCTTTTGCCATTTGGGGAGAAAAGCTTCATACTTGTGGCGGGGGGAGAGGGGGCATATCTGATTGGGATGGATCTGAGTGTCTGGGGATAAAGGAGAGGGAGATGAAGATGGAAGGGTCAAGAGAAGAATACTCCTTCTTGACTTTCTAGTTTTGAACTGTGGCAGGTGGTTGTGTTTACCGAGCCGCTGCTACACCTCTCCACACAGCTTCTGGCGCAGAAGTTGTGCTGCAGATGGTCTGTGTTTGAATTGGAACATAAAGACTTTGAGCTAAAAGCTACAAAAAAGAGGAAAAAAGGAGATGGGCAGCAGCTATCATTTTGTCCCTGTTAATAAATTAAGGAGCTTCTGACATTTTAATCCCTTTCTTGGAATTTTTCTATTCATGGAATATCCAAAACTATGCTGTCCAATATGGTAGCCACTATCCATGTGTGTATTCAGCACTTGAAATGGCTTCTCCAAATTGGAACATACTGTAAATGAAAAATACACAGCGTATTTTAAAGACATTATAAACAACAACAAAGAAGAATATCTTAAATTTTATATTGGTCACATTTGAAATATTTTGTTATATTTAAGTAAATAAAATGTATTATTAAGTTATTATTAAATTTATTTTCACCTGTTTCCTTTTATGCTCTTAAATGTAGCTATCATAAAATTTAACCATACAAATGTAATTCACTTTATGTTTCTCTTGGACAGATCTGTTCTAGTGGAAAGAGCAGTGTCAAGGACTTCTTATACAAGGTCATTAAGAGGAGCCATAACATCACCAGTTTGTATGACAGTCATTCTCAAGCACATCATACCCAACACATCCCTTTTTATAATAGTTTACAATGCTCCTTGTACAGTCTTGAAGTAATAGTCACAGATAACATATTTCAGCCACACTCATAATTTCCTTTAAAAAGTAATAAAATATCCTATGTAATATAAATGAGAAATAATAAAAAGAAAGTAATTTATAATTAAACAGTATGCACATCAATATGCAAATGCTCAAATGTGAACAAACTAGAAGAGATGTGAGAAGTCAAGTGCTCACACGTACAGGTGGAATCACTGTGAATGTAGCAGCTTTAAGTGCGGGAGGAAATACGTATATTGGATAGGAAAATCAAATACAAGTGGTGTTTTTAATTATATAATTTTCCTAAATGAACAAATTTTAGCAAATTCTAACAACAAAAATGTATAATCTTTTTTCAAATTCCCTTGGTACTTACTAAAATCATGCAAAATAACTTTTGTTACTTTATTTTTATATTTTTATTGATATAGTTGTACATATCTTTGGGGTACACGTGATATTTTGATACATGTATACAATGTTTAAAGATCAAATCAGGGTAATTGGAATATCTATCACCTCAAACATTTTTCTTTGTGTTGGGAACACTACAATTCTTGTCTTCAAGCTATTTTGAAATATACAATAAATTATTGTTAACTACAGTTTCCCCACTGTACTGTCAGATACTAAAATTTATTCCTTTGAATGGTATATTTGTATTCATTAACCAACTTCTCTTCATCCCTCCCTCCCTCATCCCCTTCCCAGCCCCTGCTAACTACCATTCTACCCTGTACCTCCATGAGATCCACTTTTTTAAGCGTTTGTAATTTTAGAACAGAATTTCTAAATTCAAATATGTGAAAACAGGTTTTCACCGACATCAGTGGCACATGGGAAAGTCAGGCAGAAAGTGAGGTGTAGGCGTAAGCCACCTTGAAAGCACATCCTCCACCTTACTGAAGCCTTCAGTTGACTGCAGCTTTGGCCACAACGTAAAGAACCTGGAGCCAGCACCACCCAACCAAGCCGTTCCTATATTCCTGACCATGGAAATTGTGAAATAAGAAATATTTGTTTTTTAAGTTGCCAAGTTTGAGGGTAATTTACAATGCAGCAATAGACAATGGATTATTATATAGTTTTTAAAAATCTTTTTTTTTAGTTCTTCAGAATTTATCTTATAGCTAACTTTTTTACCCTTTGGCTTATACATTGAATTAATGTATAGTATCCCCAAACAGTTTCCTTTACATACAACTTATAAAGTGTATGTTTGCATGTATGTACATATGTATGTATGTATGTATTTTTATTTCAATAGGTTTTTGGGGAACTGGTGGTGTTTTATCACATGGATAAATCCTTTAGTGGTGATTTCTGAGATTTTGGTGCACCTGAGCAGTGTACATTCTACCCAATGTGTAGTATTTTATTTCTCAACCCCTTCCACTTTTTCCCTAGAGTCTTCGAAGTACATTGTATCATTTGTATGCCTTTGCATCCTCATAGCTTAGCTTCTATCTCTAAGTGAGAACATATAATGTTTGGTTTTGCATTCCTGAGTTACTTCACTTTGAATGATGGTCTCCAGTTCC